ATTCCTTCCAGAGCTGGCAAGTAGGGTGCCTGAAGAGCCGTTGCACAGCTCTTTTGCACCTCTTCTGGAGCAGCGTGTAAAAACTCTGCACTGGGAGTACATTCTGATGGCGTGTGCCATGCATAGCAGTGCATGCCATGATGACATCCTCGGGAAGAGGTTGGGGTGCCCGGCATGTGGCTGCCCCTCCCCTCCCCTCCCCTGCCTCCAAGGTAGTGCAAAACGCCATCTGTAGAAGCCCTGAGTCTGTTTTCCTTACTGGATTGAAACCCAGAGGAACTTTGGTATGTAGTCATGACCTGTAGTTAAAAAATATAGGTGAAAGATAAATTACAGTATTGAAATAATAAACTGCACACAAAGAATTAGACACAGGTCATGAAGTTTTAGTGAGTGGGTAGAATTTCAAGTGTATCCAATAACTATTAACTTTCTCATAGGAAATAAATGCTACAGATCTTGATTTTATTATGTCATTATGAATAATGTGAGCAACAAGTTTTGGTTGAAAAAATTCTCACAATGTCATAATTTTAATTCTGCTTTATTCCCCATTATAAGGATTTCAGATGAAATAAATTCAGCTGTGGTTATGCTTGCAAGCAGGCTAACATGCTTTTTTATTGTCTGCTGGTAGAAACAATTAAAAATGAATAGCAGAGCAAAGGGAAGTTTGAGCAGTCTAACTATGAAGTTATAATAGAATGTTTTAATATTTGAAGGGTCACACTGGTTTCTTATTTAAGCAGTACTTCTCTTCCTATATTTGTAGAGGGAACATCTGCCATTAGAAACATACAAAACTGTATACAACCAACTACCCCAAAACTGTGGTTGGTTGTATTTATGAGGCAATGTCAGTCTTTAAATGGTTTCTGTGATAGTCACAAGTTAGAAAGCCAGTTCTTCAAAATAATTGCAAGTGGGGCAAAGCACTGCTCGAGATAGCATAGTGGTCTAGAGATGTAAATCTCCATAAATTTTGTTCTTATTGGATTGAATCACATGGGGACTGTATGGCCCACTCCCAAAGCTGGCTACCTCTGCAGTCCCAAGTTGGCCATCAGCAGGAGCAGATTTAATCCAGTCCTAAAAGGTCCAAGTCTTGCCCCATAAGCATGGCCTTGGTGCAGGTTCTGCCTGCTTTGGGTGCATGCATCATCTAAATTCCCCATCCCCAAAGTGGTCAGAGTGGTCACTTGATTTGGCCCATGCAGTTTGAGCCATTGGCAAGTACAAACAATGTTACCATTATTCACTCAACTGTGAAAGATGCACAGGAACTATTCACAAGTCAAGATTTATTTTGCAAAATGCACACACACAAACACTTGAGAGAAATTTTACAGGGGGGAAAATGAAAGAAAACTTACCTTCTGCACAGAAAAAAAAAAACTCAACCCCAAACACTATGCAATTTCTTCACATACAATATGTCCCAAACTATGACGATTATCTTCTGTTCAGGATGCTCCTTGTCACTGTTTTCTGGCATACAACGAACCCATTTTCATTTATTACTATATGAATATTTTCAGATATTTTAGAGTGATCCTGTGTGTGTATGGATGTGATGGAGAAGAACACCTGAAGAGCTCCACTGTAATTGTGAATTTGTAGGTAAAGGAGGCCATATTAGATATATGCCATTTTCCATTTTGATATATTTCTCTGTGTTAACTGTTCCATATTCCACTCAGTCTGATTTAACTTGGAACATTTCTTAAAAAGGGAAAGAAAAAAGAAAAGAAAAAAAATGAGTATTGAGAGTGTGTAGCAGTTTTCAGTCACTTGGTCTTCAGTACCATTATTGATTAATGCAAGTTGGGAATATCTAATCTTCTCTGTGTTTGTCCTCAATCATTCTCAGTAGGGGAATGAGGATCAATTCTTTGCATGTTTGTTTACTTCATTGTTCTCCCAAGAGTCCTCCTGATTTACACACAATGGAAGAAAGAGCATGCAGCTGAACAATTCTTCCTCCTCTGTGAGATTTCCTGCTTATTAGTGCAGCAAGACTACATGTTCCATCATCCTAGTGGAGAAGTGATGGTGTTTAAGTCAATGTTTAAGTCAACTGACAGGTGACTCCTATAGACAGAAATTGAAAGAAAAAGCATGACCTTTCCCATTCAACCTGCATCTTCACATAAGTAATTTAACAAGGGAGTTTGCTTTTATGAGCTCTTGTATTCCATTATCTGTGACACACCTAGTGCATATGTACATTGATTAAAGATCTTTGCAGTGCAAAATACTGATGTGGTTAAATGATTGCATCTAGTTGTATTGGTGTGTATGAGTTTATTTAACATGTTTATTATACATGTTAATAAACCGCATGGAAAAGATGCAAACTGACAACTCTGGAACAACGGGCTGGATGAGATCCGTCAATTAACATCCTTGGACAGCTTTAAAAAGACTGTCAAGACGGATCTCTTCCGGCAGGCCTTTCCGGACTAAAAAAAATACCCGGCCTCAGGATCTTGGGACCTTGGGATTTCCCCCTCCCCAGGAATGCCTCCATAGCCCCCTTTTCAGAACTGAAGTTGCAGGGGTTTTATTGGTTTGTATTACTTGTTTTGTTGTTGTTTTTTAAACTTGTCATGTTTTAATTGTTATTTGGTTTTAATTGAGATATGGTTTAATAATTTTTAGGGGGGGAGGGCATTATACTATTTTAAGTTGTATGCATTTTAATGTTGTAAACCGCCCAGATTGGTCTGCCACCGGGCGGTATATTATTATTATTATTATTATTATTATTATTATTATTATTATTATTATTATTATTATTATTATTATTATTATTATTATTATTATTATTATTATCTCTACATGTGCAAAGGTGTTTTTTAAAAAAACATTAAATTTTATTTTTAAAGAAAAAGATGGATCATTCATAGTGGTCCTACTTTCCAATTTTAACAAAAGTGTAGACATTTTAGCACCCACAAATTTGCCATAAATAAATAAATTAGGATAATTAAGTAAGCATTGCCAATTCTTAGCTACAGGAGACAAATGCAACATCCATTTTTAATTATTTTCTTTATTTATTTTCAAGAAACAAAATTGTGATAAGAAGAATTTTTGTGGGCCTTTATCAGAAACAAGTGAATGAGCCACAGAAGTGCTATATTCCAGAAAAAGACTTATGCAGTACAAGATTCCTGTATATTCCAGTATGTCCACTCTACTTCCCCTTCTCTGGGTGGAACAAATATTTTGAAAAATAGTGGGGAAAAAACATATTTCCCAAGTGCCATGAGACCCTGACAAGCAGAGTCAAGGATTGACAAGCAGAGACAAGGATTGCAGAGAGACCCAGGAGGAAAAGGCATCACAAGCAAAGCTAGAATACAGCTTAGATGTACCCTTCCTTCAGTGGCCTTATTTTTCCCTGCGTGAGCACTACTATTTTCATCATTGTCACTGCTATCCATCTCCTGTATGTGCTGCACAAATTGCAAGCCCAGCTCTCTACAAAGCCAGACATGCCCAAGTGTTTGAGGCTGAGGAAAGACTTCTCAGAGCTATATATCAGGAACCAGGATAGCCAGCATGTCATAGTGGTTTGCGTGTTGGACTGTGACTCTGTAGACCAGGGTTTGATTCCCTGATTGGCCATGAAGCCCATTTGGTGACCTTGGGCAAATCACATGCTCTCAGCTCTGGGGAAGGCAGTGGGAAACCTCCTCTGAACAGATCTTGTCCAAAAAATAAAGCAACCACGAAACAACCTTAGGGTTGCCATAAGTTGAAAGTTTCTTGAAAGCACACAACAATAACAAACAACCCTGAAGACCTATGTACCAGCCACTATTACCCAGCAGGGTTCACCATAAAATCAGGGATGTGATTTAACATTTCTCACATTTTGCTACCTGGGTGGCTGCCTCACCCTGAATAACAGGAGAGCCCACTATAATCTCACAGGTGAATTCCCATGTCATGGTCATGATGCCACTGTTTGGATCTTGGCATTTGCTGGTCATCTGCTGTTACCAAATATGCAAATGAATTAGTAGGACAAGGAAACAGAACTGTTACTTCCTCCCCTGAAATTAGGGTTTTGGCAGTGGTGCCCACCAACATAATGTTGTTCAGGGATTACAAAAAGATCTTTAGTTCCCTCTGGTGGTTGGCATTACTGAATTCAGCTGATCAGTGAGTTTTGCACAGACAGAATACACCTATTCCTTCAAAAATGAGTGTCTGGGTTCATGGTCTGTGTGCATGGGGCTTTCTTTAATTTCCTGTTTTTTTTGGGGGGGGGGTTGTTTGTTTTGATAATATGCAGTCAGAAGCCTCTGTCAAAGGTGGTCCAGTGCTTTAAAGTACATCTAGAAATTAAGAATGTAAAATCAGTGCATAGAATGTAAAAAAGTAATTTTGCTAGTTTGCCCATGTTGTAGATTTCATGACCCATGTTTGCCACACCAGACCATATTGTAGAATGTCTGTTGGAATTATACTGAATATGCTAGCTAACCAAGTCAAGACTGGGGAGGGCAGTTACAACACTTATGTCAGGCAGTTTACATGGTGAAAACAGCTTCATTTCTGTCATGGAACAGTGCTGTGTGCTTTCAGAGCATTCTGTGAATCAATAAGATTGTTAAATGTGGACTAGAGTAGTTCTTCTCCTGACAATTGCATTTTCTGTTGTGCACAGATTTAAGGCTCCAAGCAAGCACTCTCAGTATTATGTTCTTAAACAGGTACAAACTTGGGAAGGTTTTAAAACAGTTATTTGCAATAGGGGTTTTCTTAGTCCAGCAGAAGAGAAGTAGGAAGAATTTAGCCAGGCATTGTAATTAGTACGATTATAAAAGCTGTTTGGTAGTAGGATAGATGATTTTGGAAGGTGATGAGCTCTCCCTCTTTGGTGGTTTTTAAATGGAGATTAGGTGGCCACCTGTCAGTAATGCTATACCTGTGGATTCCTGTGTTGGTCAGGGATTAGATTATATGATTCCTTTCAACTGCACAATTCTGTGTATCGGTTACTCAGAGATTCTTACACGGTAGTAGCACATACTATAGCCTTTGTATAAATCATCATTGCTCAACCTGATTTATGATACAGGATTACTGTGAGGCTAAAATGCCATATGCCTGCATATACTATTCTAAGATCTATCGAAGAGAAGAGTGCAAATGTCAAAAATGAAATGTGGCATTTTATCTATTTATTACCGTAATTATGACAAATTCCCATCATGTATTTTTAAACTATGGCTGGTTTTACACAACTTATTTTTTTCTGACTGATTAATGACACTCTGTGGACATCTTGCATCAGAAATGAAGATCTGAATCTGAAGATGCATATTGCTTTTCACCAACGGTCTTAAGATTTTCATTTACTGGCAAGCCTTTAAACTCCCATGGCTTTAGATTATTACTTTTCATCATATTCATCACATATGAAAATATACTAAGGTTTATTTTAAATAGAATTAAACTATTCACAATATTAAAACAATTTAAAATGTACACTTAGAAAGGATAAAAAAACCCCACACACAGTTAAAACAGTTCAGGTTTGCTCTGTGTTTGCCCATAGTGCTCTAGTTGCTCTTTCAAATGTTACTATTTTGTTGTAATTTTCATCATGATTTTTTCCTCATTGGTTTGTGTATGTAGGGGCATGCATGTTTGGTTGCTTTTTAAAAAATAATGGGGTAGAAATATTTTTAAATGATTACTTGATGGGAAGTATGCAGATATTCCTTTTGTATTATCTACATATTTCTTTAGATTATGATAGCTAAGGAGGAGATTAAGACTAAACCTGTGTATAGCAAAAGTCTTCTTCTGACTCTAAAGATCTCTCTTCCTTAGGTTAGGAGAGGATGTATTACCCAATGTATTGCAAATGATGAAAATAATGCTTTGCTCTCCTTCAACCTAAAAGGATTTCCTTTCAGTTCATAACCTGGCACTGAATTGCCTTGCCGAATTTGAATACAAGTCACGTCCTCCTCTGTCATGGTTCTTTATTTCTTCAGTGCTTTCTCTGTTATCTGCATCTGGACATTATGGGACTTTACAGCATTTATTAAGTAACACCGTCAACTGCTCTAAAGAGAGACAAAATGCCACTAGAAAGATAAACCATGACATTTCAAAGTCTCTGAAAAGGGAAACATCTAAAAAAGACAGGATTCAGTTTATGTTTTGTGATTCCAACTATATTTCACAGATATAACTTGCATGTAAATTGATTATTAATCTGTTGCTCCACTGTCATTTTATATTCTTTCTCTCCTGTTTAACCACTGAATAATATTAAAATATTGGGCTAAATTTATTGCTGATCTAACAGCTTTTCTTTGAATGCTGAAAGTTATATTCATTGTGACTTTGCTATGTTTGGAAAGTGAGCTGTGTTCTTAACTATGTATAAGGATATGTTTGCAAGTCTGTATTCATAGGCATATCAAAGCCTTAATATGAAGTGAAAGCTCTCTTCAGCCTCTTTATAGGATAGGTAGGTATAAGCAAGGAAGAGAAGATTAAAGAACTGGTTCTAATCCCAGCATATTTCTATTCACTTTGGAATATGAAACAAATTTACTCACATTCTCTTGTTATATGATAGGCAGATCTGCATTCAATCAGGAAACAGATTTCCAAGCTTAGGTGTATACATTCATTCTATATGGAAGAACAACTGAAAGGGATAAATCAAAATTAATGAACATTGTATCATCTGGGATTACACAGACAGTAATACATGCTTTGCAATAAAGGGGAAGTGAAATGCACAAACCAGCTCACATACATACTCTCCCCCTCCATACACACTGCATTGCCCTTACTACGGCTTCTCATTAAACTGCCCTTTCAGTAATGCTGCTGTCTCCTAGGCAATTTCCTTACTGACCCAGTCAGCTCACTATATTGGGCAGTTTGATGAGGCATTTTAGTCACTGAAATTCAAGGCACAAGAAAAAGGCTAAACCACCAAAACAACAATTTTGCTAAAGCTTTAGAGAAACAGAACTAAGTTGTTGTAATTGTGCATTGCTAGAGGAAATATTGAGATAGTTCTAGAAGCTAACCATAAGAGCAGTTACATTCTGATTTTAATTATGATATGAAAATAGTATGGAAAAGTCATCTATCTTTGTCTGCATCTGCACTGCAGGAATAAGGCAGTTTGATACCACTTTAACTGCCATGTCTCAATACTGTAGAATTCTGGGATTTGTAGTTTGTTGTGGCACCAACACCCTCTGACAGAGAAGGCTAAATTTCTTACAAAACTACAAATCTCAGAATTCCATAACATTGAGCTATGGCAGTTAAAGCAACTTCAAACTGCATTATTTCTGCAAGGCAGATGCAGTCTGAGTGGTGAGATAGGGAAGATTGTCAACAATCCTGCTTAAAATGAAATGTGATAGAGATTGAAAAATTCATCATTTTACTTTCTCCCACATTCATGTTTTTTTTTTTAAAAAAAGTAAAGTCCTTTTCTTCCTGTTTTCAATGAAAGTTGACCTTTTTTTAAAAAACAAAATCTTATATAAATGAAGTGAACCAAATTGTCAAGCAACTATACTGGCAATATCTAGCTGTTCCCTAATATTTAAAGGATCATTGTATGCTTGCCTGTCATGAAGCTGATAAAGGCAAGAAGCCTGTCATGAAGAGATAACATGGGGGAAAGCTATAAGTTAACAGATATATGCATGTATAGCATTCTGCCTAGATACTTTATCAAACCTGCTTAATTTTTTTAAAAAAATAACCTCAATGCATTTTTGGAAAATTATGGAAAAATCATTGAATTTTGTAAGATGCACACACGCGCACACACACACACACACACACGCACACCATATCAAAATTCATATCTATTCTTATATAGCAGTTTGGAGGAAAATATCAAATAATTTCAATAGAAGCTAAAATAATTTTCAAAACAACCACTACCAATGAGTTTATATACAGGTTATAACTGGATGTTTTGACAAAGCAAATCCATTATCCAAAATGATGTTAAGCAAACCATTTAAGAAATGACACTGGAAGCCCATATAATTTATTAGAGATGTTCCATACATCTTAAGTTGCTGAGTAGTTTATACAGATACATGAATGAGCTTTTCAGCCAATAGTAAAAATATACACTCAGCCCTCCATATTTGTGGGTTTCAGATTTGCAGTTTTGACTGTTCACAACTTTGGGCCTCGGCAGACAGCTAATAGAGCCGTCTTCCGGGCCCAGAAGAGGAGGGGCAGCCACACGAGCGGTGCCCCTTCCTCTTCCCGAGGTCGCCCTCAGAGTCACCGGCCCTTCGCACGGCCAGCGCTCCGGGGATGACCTCACGCCGCGGCGACCACACGCGCTGCGGCGTTTGAGTCAGGGAAAGTGCGCCCGCCGCTTTTAGGCCGCACTTTCCCTGAAATCTAAAAGGAGCGCCAATTTGGAGCTCCTTTTAGATTTGCCGGAGGTGTGCCGCGGTGCGGAGGCCAAGCTCCGCCGGCGTTCCGACCCGCGGCGCACGGGAAGCTCCCGTCTGCTTCCCCCCTTTGTAGCTGCTGCTTAACAAGGTCAACCTCTTGACACACACACACACACACACACACACACACACACACAACCCTCTTC